GGCTTGCAGGGGTGGAGGGCAAGAGGGAAGCCAGTGCCCACTGCCTGGGCACTTTGAGGATCGCTGGCAGCGAAGCCCACCCAGGGTCTCCATGGCAAGAGCTGCAAGGATGTTTTGCTGCTGCAGCCCAGCAAATTTGTGTGCTAAAACATTAACAGCCGTTAGCTGCCCTCTTGCCCTCCACCCCTGCAGGATCATCTGTCAGATAGCTTGTCTTATCAGCCACACGGCACCGCCTGTGGCGCAGTGTGAGTCCTAATGTTGTGGGAACCCGGCCACTGAGGGACTGCATCTCTTGGATTATAGAAACCACTCTGCAAATTTCCAGGCACTGGGGCTGAGAAGGAATGTCTAGCTCATCTCCTTGGTGTCCTCCAGCTTGGACTGGCTCCTCTTCCCTCCTCTTCCTCTGCAGCAAAGAAGCGAGCCACACATGTCTTCTCCCTGAAGGAAGCCATTAATCAAATCCCCTATTATTCTTTGCAACCTTGCACTCACACTTCCAGCTTTAGGAGGTGCTGGCAGTTAAACCATGTTAGGTCATCTTGTCCTACCGTGGGTGTGAAAGGACTAATGAAAACGAGTGGATTTGGAACTTAAAGCAAACTGCCTTTAGCCTACATCCCTTGCCTTGAAAAAAAATGCTGGGGTACTGCTTTTTCTTTGCATAAGGCAACTTGGCTGTTCCCAACACCCTCCCCTCCCTTGCACAAGTACTTTTGGAAAGTGAAAATGAACAACTTTTAAAAGGGACACCAGATGACTTGAGCACCTGTTACTTTCTGACTCTCAATTCCCGCTTCCTGAAATTGCCGAGTTGCCATTAAAAGCTGCCTTTACTCTGTGTAGAAAGGACTGCATACATCAAGCTTATTTGCTTAAGCTATTGGGTGGTATAGAAATACAATGATAATAATACTTTTGAGTAAATATAGTTACAGTACATGTATTTAGGATGCATGTCTAAAATTCTGGTTCTGAGTGTAAGAAAAGAAAACTGAAAAGAACTCCAACCCTTTTTTTTGGGGGGGGGGGGGAGGGAAGCAACTAAATAATTATTGAATAAGAATACCCTGAACCCAACAGAAAGACAAGTGGGTCCTAGGTCAAATCAAGCCAGAACTTTCCCGGGAAGTAAAAATCACAAACCTGAAGTTGTCATATGGTATGCACATCATGAGAAGGCAAGACTCCCTGGATAAGGCAATTGTGTCAGGGGAAGTCAAAGGCAGAAGAAGGGTAAGACCAAACAGGAGTTGGATTGACTTCATACAAGAAGCCATGCCTTGCATTTACAAGAGACGAGCGATCAAGTCGGAGATGACTTGATGGCATGCAACAACAAGTAATGAAGAGCGAGGAAACTCCTTTTGTACCAGGTAACGTTAAATGATACTGTGTATAGAATATAGCAAGAGTCTTGGAGCTGAAGTTCCTCATGGACTTTAGATCAGGGGTCGGGAGGAAGTCGATCTGCCAGATGGCTTGGACTTCATCTCCCAGCACTCCTAACTATTGGCCATGTTGGCTGGGGCTTTGTGGAACTGAAGCCCTAAACGTCTGAAAATCAGATCCATAAACTGAGCCATTGTGGTGGGAGAAACAATTTCTTTTTCTTCAATCTCATACTCTCCAGATGTGTTGGCCTATGATAGCTATCATCCCCAGCCTTGTCAGCTGGAGATGATAGGAGTTGTAGTCTAACACACTTGCTGCTCCATAAGACGCCCAAAGCTTAACAGAATGGAGCTAGTGGACTTCCTTTCACTCAGAGCTGTTGGAATTTCAGACACCAAGTCCTGCCTCGGTTAAGGAAGTAACATGGGAGGAAAAATTCCTGGATATCCGATGCAGCTGTGTGGAGAAAACAGTCGTATAAATACCAATATGTGGCTGAGAGCCAAAGAGCTATTTTCGGGGCACGCAGGGGCTTGGGCGTGTGCACTCTGATTTTTCCTCTCCTTTGAAGAGCGACAGCCCTTGCTAGGTTAGAGACCACTCTCCGCAATTGACACACTTCTCAGATTAAAAGAGGGTTATCATGCGACATGAGGCTTGCCCCGTCCTGGGGAATGTGATGGAAGATGGTCACAGTTATCTGTATCCTGGACTGAGAAAATAAACAGTTACGCTTATTCAACAGGAACCGTTATTTTACAGAAATAGGCCTGGGCTAAAGGGCCCAGCGGAGCACTGAAGCTGCAAATCTTGCATTCGGTGCCCTTACTCTGGGAGGCCACCTGCCCCCCCCCCCACAGGCCATTCTGAAATAGAAGTATGCATACAGTGCACCTGAGGATCCCTGTTGTGCTGCATCCCTTGGATTAGTACACATGCTGCCAACGAGGGCTTCATCTCCTTCTGTCCCTCCACCCGCTGGCTTTTATACCTGAGGGTCCTCCTCCCCCCCTGAAATCAAATGCCCTCCCTCCATGGTTCATAAGTCCCTTTTGACCAATAAGGGGTGACTGTAGGAGACAGGCCTTTAAAGAAATGCACACAGGCAATTTAGACAAGAAACTTGCTGCCTTGAGTTTCTTGCAAGAGAAAGAAGGCAGGGTATCCTCGCACTGCAATGATACAGTACATAAATTAGTGTATGCAAATGTGTGCATTTTTATTTTGTCCCGTGGGCCTGAGCCCCAGATCTTTTTGGTACCTGGCACCAACCCTGGATTGCAGGTTCAATTCCGAGTCCCTCTGGTTAAAAGGATTGGGCAGAAGGTGAAGAGCCTTTTCTGCTTGAGTTCCTGAAGAGCTGCGACCAGTCCGGGTTGACTTTATTGGGAGCAGACTGAGTGGTATTTCCACTGAGATTGTGATTTCATTATTTGTGAGAACATGCAGCCAGGCAGAAGTATATTTCATGTAGGGCTGCCTGTCACCAGGATTGCTTCCTAGCAGGGGTCTTATGCTTCTAATAGCTCAGACTAGAAGATATTCGACATGTAGTATTTCTGTAGCATCCATATACCATTTCTTCCATATACTATTAGCACATAATAACGCAAGAAGAGTCCTCCTTCCTTGAGCCCGACTATCCCTCTTGTTTAGCGTTCTGTTCACATGGGGGCCAACCAGCTGCCCGCAAGAACCCATCAAGGAGGACATGAATGCAACAGCGCCTTCATACTCATGTTCCCCAAGCAAATGGTGCACAAAGACATGCTGCCTGTATTGTATGATGTATGTATATATTTTTGCCGTTTTCCTAATACTGTTGTGAGTTCACTGTTGTGGCTACAGCGAGAATCAACAAAGGTGCAGGTGGTTCCAGGATTCAGTTTTTCCTCTCTCACAAAAAGGGTTGGCTAGAATGGAAAAATCACAATGTTTTAGCATGGAAGAATAGCAGAGCTGGTCAACCTGTGGTCCCTCCAGATGGTTCAGTCAACAGTGCCCATGATCCCATTGAGTGAATGGACTAGGACTGATGGGAATTATAAGCCAAAATAAGTAGAGAGTGACAAGTTACTCACTCCTGGAGTGCGGGATTGACTCCCTCGGATGGTGGCAGAGTGGTGCAAGGTCTAACTAGTGCAGTAACGGGATCTCCATCCCAACATTCTTTCTGCTGGCAAAGAAAGATGTTGCTGATATCGTGTGTGCACATTTATGAAGTGGAATTGTCAGCTTTCTTGCTTCCTGGGTGAGATGTAAAAATGCAGTCACGAGGAGAGTTTTCTGCCAATATTTAAGTGGAGGGAAAAAAACACTCCTCTTGTCTGAAGTTACCCTGACTGCCAGCTTCAGCCAATCTCTGTCTGGCTAGGTAGCTTCCTTGGAAAACAAGCCTCCTTAGCCAATCACTATCAGCTTGAATAACTTGTCTGGCTTTCAGGAATGGAGAGGGGGGAAAAGCTCTCACCACAGACAAGCTGAAACCAGTCAGTCTAATTGGGGCATATATTCAGCTTTGACCTTGAAAGTCTTGATGCTAGACTGGTATCAGATAATGCATGCTTGTGGTTTAACAAATGCATGCAGGCCCTTCCTCATAAAATGGGGCTTCTTTCCAGGCAGCTAAATCTTACCAAGCCAATCGATTTTTTGATATAAATTGTAAAGCCAAAACTTCTGAAGGACAACATGTTGACCATACCAGGAGCATGGGATTGGCTTCCCAGCTTGCTGGCAAAATGGCAGCCGGTCTGATTAATGCAACAGCAGGGTCTTTTTCCCAAGGAAAAATATTAGCTATGCTGCAGGTGCTCATAGCTAAATGAAGGCGCAATCACCCCTTCGAGATCAGCTTTATTGTGTCCTGGATGAGATGGGAAAATGCAGACAAGGAGAACTCCTGCCAATATTTAAGAAACAGAAAAAGAACACTTCTCCTGACCAGAGAGACCTTGAATGTTACAATTCAGCACACAGTGAAATTTTGTTGCCAGGTTCCACATTTTTAACAATATAAGCAGATTTTTAAACCATGCAAACCATTGTGCTTCCTCTCTGAATGCCCCCTGTGCTTGAAAACCCCTCCCAGAAACTAGAAACAATGCAGCTTCTATGGGCCAAGCTACAAGGATTAGCTCAGATTAGGGCAACAGCGGGACTAGTTGGCACAGGACAGCCCTCTATTAAGCTTTGGCAGAGGACAACCCTACATTTAAAGCTGTCCTCTATTTGAAGGACTGCCTAGTTCAAGTCTTGCTTAAAGTCAAAGAAACAGAAGGAAGGAAAACAGCAGCATCCTTGAAGTTGCTCGTCAAGAGCAGCTGAACACACCAACCAGGTGTGCTGGTCACAGTCTTTCCCACTATGGTGAGATATAGTTGCATATGCAAACACCATGCACACTAGTGTATTCTTTCATCCTCTTCCTGAAGACACAGTTCCTCTTTATTTTTGGCAATGTTTCAGTGGTCTCCCTAGCACACTGATTCTCTGCTGTCTACTAGCACAGGGATACCAGTGAGACGGTGGATTATATTTTAAAAACGAAATAGCATGAAATGTTCCATATATTATATTCATTTCTGCTTCGTGTCTTTCAGCATACCTGTGTTTCCTAGTGACTGCCTTGGGAGTGACAGCAGGTGCCCATCGTCTGTGGAGTCATCGATCCTACAAAGCCAAGCTGCCTTTGCGGATATTCCTGGCCGTGGCCAATTCTATGGCATTTCAGGTTGGCTGGCTCATGCTTGGCTAGAGATAATTTTGATTTAACTGCTGTTTGCTTGATGGTCAACAGATGAATGAGTGAAGTAGCTCCCCTGAAAAGTCTGGGTCTGAGAGGATATAGACATTCTGCCTGTAGTGCTTTGTCACGGTCCACGCATGCCTGCAGGCCAGCACGTTATGATGCCAACAGCGAGAGGAGAACATGCATGGATGTAATGGCAGCTCTTCGTCATCAGAGCATGGGCATGACCATCAGAGGAGTGCGTGTGTGTGTGCAGGAGTGAGTGTGCGGGGCGGGAGGGTCCTCTTCCAATGGCATGCTTCATAATCAAAAGCGTGAGAAGAGAACTTTCAAATTCCTCTCATCTTGGCCCAACACAAGTGGTTTTTCTGCTGTGGTAAATTATAAGGGGCATAGCATGTTTCCAAACTGCAGACAGCCACCAGCTCAAGATATTCCAAGAGTTTCTTTTGCTAGCACAGGGATACACTTTTGATTTGAAAGTCAGCAAGCCAGATCCACCAAGAGCAGGTGTTTTGTGAAGTCAGGGCTCTTAATTGACGGTTGAAGAGCAAGCAGGATTAAAACATGTTTCATTAGAAAGGGGTTCCTCCGAATAACTGGAATTGACCCCAGGAAAACCAATTTTCCCACACCTCTTGTGAGGCCTGCATTTTAAACTGAGAGTGAGCAAGGAGGTCTGGGGTGAGGGACAGATGGCCATTTAATCAAAAAGTCCCCACAGTTCAATTCCATAAGCCCAGACTCCACTTGTTGTTCTTGTTAGTCGCGAAGTCGTGTCCGACCCATTGCGACCCCATGGACAACTTTCCTCCAGGCCTTCCTGTCCCCCACCATCCCCCAGAGTCCACTCAAGCTCACACCAACTGCTTCAGTGACTCCATCCAGCCACCTCATCCGCTGCCGCCCCCTCCTTCTTTTGCCATCTATTGTTCCCAGCATCAGGCTCTTCTCCAGGGAGTCCTTCCTTCTCATTAGGTGGCCAAAGTATATGAGTTTCTTCTTCAGGATCTGGCCTTCTAAAGAGCAGTCAGGGTTGATCTCCTCTAGGACTGACCGGTTTGATCGCCTTGCAGTCCAAGACTCCACTACATCACTAAAAATGTGGAATAAAAGCTAGTGGCTGTCCCACTGCAGAGAGGTGAGAGAAATGGAGTGGTGGCACATTGAAGATGGTTGTGCAGAAGCCTTCTGGCAGTTGATTCACTGCTGTGGACAATCTCTGCACCTGTTCTTCCCAAAGCATGTTTGCGAGGCTTCTGGAGCCATACTGGCGGTGGGGGTGTGGACATGGATAGAGCTCTGCACACACATGCATGGTAACCTTCCATGAAGGAAGCAGGGAGACAGCGCAGTAATGATGCCCAGAAACAAATCTTGTCCTGCTACTGAAATAACAGTAAGGACTATGGAACTAGGATTGGAGACCCACTAGTGACAGGGAACTTATAATCCTAACCCTTCCTGTTCTCCATGCAGAATGACATCTTCGAATGGTGTCGAGACCACCGAGTGCATCACAAGTACTCTGAGACAGATGCTGACCCTCACAATGCTAAGCGTGGCTTCTTCTTCTCCCACATTGGCTGGCTCTTTGTCCGGAAGCATCGAGACGTCATTGAGAAAGGAAGGAAGTTGGACTTCAGTGACCTGTTGGATGACCCTGTCGTTAGGTTTCAAAGAAAGTGAGTGACTTGGGGAAAGGCTAACCTTTTTTTAGATTTTACAAAAACAAATCAACCTCTGCTGTGTTAAGAGCTTGCAAAACTGTACAGATTATATTTTTAATGCAAATCCTTAAAGGGAAGGAATTATGAACTGAGCCAGCAAATGTTATTTGTGTGATTATGATAGTGTATTACTGATTGCACTGTGCATTTTGCATAGAGCTGTTGATTGAAGAGTTGACAGCATAAACCTACGCATTTGAAATGTTGCATGGCAGACTGGTGAGAAGCAATTTTATTATTTTGGACTGGGAAAGCCTGAATAAGCAAAATGGCTGGTACAGGATTATTCTTAGCCAGTACAGAGCAATATGGACAAAAAAGGAGTATGTGACCTGGACAATCACAGAAGCAGCTGATGACAGTTGAATTCAATCACATTTACTGCAGTTACATCTCTCCTCTGACCTGCTTCCAAAGACTGACTTAGAAAGAAAATTAAGCTATATGTAAATACAAGTAGATAAAAAGGTACCACTTCGGTGGGAAGGTAACAGCGTTCTGTGCACTTTGGTGTTTAGTCATGCTGGCCACATGACTACAAAAACTGTCTGCGGACAAACGCTGGCTCCCTCGGCCAGGAAACGGAGATGAGCACCGCCCCCTAGAGTCAGGCATGACTGGACTTTAATGTCATGGGGAAACCTTTACCTTTTAAATAGCAAAAATAAAAGAAAACATCCATGAGAAAAATACAATCTGTTAGCTGAGAGTAGGGCAGCTCAGATCTGTTGACTCATGAGAGGTTGGTTGTGGTAGATTAAAATAAAAATGCTTCCTTAACGTTTCACCCTGTACACTTGTCCTCCGTCAAGCCACCCTTGGCAAAGGGTGGAACGGCACTGGGCATGCTCTCTCTCTCAGTCACATCGATCAAGCCCCAAATCACCTCCTATGCACACTGAGGGAGTGGAAATCAAGAGTCTCCTCAGCTACTATATAATTTTTTGCCGTCCTCCTCCAGACTAGTGAGGCATCCCAATTTGCTCATCAAAAGACCTCTCTAGCTTCCTACTGGGGAGAAAGATCTTCCAGCGATAGTGTTGTGCCTCCTGTCCATGCTTTCAGGTGAGATAACTAAATCGGTACTGCATACAGTGACTGGGCTCAGACAAGATGACAACCTACACGCAGCCCTTGAATATGGGTTCAGTGTGGGTTAGCGCAGAACCATGAGTGCTGGTGCAAGATAAGTTATCATGTTGTCTGAACCCAGCTGCACTAATAAGCCACAGCTTGTTAACCATGAACAACCTGTGAAGAGAACCCATGGTTGTTGGGTTGTGAATTGTAGTCGTTCACCTGGGTTAGGTTCAGGCAACATGATAACCCACATTTCAACAACCCATAACCCACATTCAACCCTTGTCTGAATCTTGCCTGAATAACGTCAGAGTAACACACTTTCAATTAGGAAGGTGAGCAGCATGCTGAGGGGGATCCCATTGTTACCTCTATTTATTCTTGCCCTGGAAAACAGCTGGGGATCATGTTTGGGCAGGAAGTGGAGCCTGTGGGAATAAAATAGAGAGGAGGAGGAAGAGAATTATGTAAGCCAGCCTGGGTTCCTTGTAGAATATAAATATCGTTTATTTCATATCTGTAACACCCAAAAGTTAAATCTCTCTTAAAAAGCCTCCAGCAGAGACCTACAATGTCTCGTGTTAAAGCAAGCAAAACATGCATGCAAATACAGCACATAATCTTATCACAGCTGACAATGCCCTACCTGGCACTCAGTCCTCACCAAAAGATCACCCCAAAGATTCTGGAAAGGACTGTGTTTTGTGTCCATGAGAGTTTCAGCTAGCTGTACCTGTGGTCATGCATTAAAATTGCCCAATAAAGAGCAAGGGATAACTCTTCATGAGAAAAACAGGGATCCTGTGCATCAGTCTTGACTCTGTTTAAAAATGTTTTTAAAATCTGAATGCAGCATTTTGGAGACTGCCCCGGAAGGGGACCAAAAAAAAAAAAAAAAAGGGAGGAAGGAAGGAAGACCTGGAATAAGAGAATCATAAATCTGGTGAAGCAAAAAATCCACTAGTTGGCATTACATTAACTAGGAACAACCAAAATGCCACTAAAGTGTCTTTAAAAAAAACCTCAAACAAATTTCAGTCAGGATGGGAACAGTTTGTGAACTGTACCACTGCAGAGATAGATAGATAGATAGATAGATAGATAGATAGATAGATAGATAGATAGATTTGGTAATGTTCTCTGTGCATCTACAACAATGAAAGAGAAGTCTAGACTCGGTGTCACAAATTCTGGCAAATTCCAATTGCTTGAAGTCATGTTGCTCAAGCATGAGCATAAATATAAATCATATATATTCAAGCAGGAGCCATTTATAAACCATTTATATTCCAAATGCTTATGTGCAGCTAATGGTACCTTGGAGAGAGAGAAAAGTTTATGGTTGTTTAGGTCAAGGAAGTAGGTGGAAGGGAAGATGGTGTTAGAAATGGTGCATGCCCATATGCACACACGCAACACACACAAATATTCTCACACAGTGCTTGTATAACTCACGAAAGAGCTTAGCGGCCTTTTGGCCTCCTGTGCACTGTTTTTACTTGTGAGCACAGTTTTGGAGGTGCACTGTTTAACTGACTAACCATTGGGCAGAAAGGTAGATTCATATTTGCATTTCAATCTTCATTTCCGTTTCCATGTTGCTGTGAAAAGAATGATCTCCCAGAAGCACAGGGGCAGCCTCGTATCCATGGTTACCACGAAGCATCCTTTCCCAAACCGATGTCCTCCAGTTGCATTGGCAACACATCTCCATGCTTCACGTTCCATTCTCTAATTCTTGCCATACATCCTAGCAATAAATCTCCTTCACCATTGCTTCCTATGGAGCTCATCCTGACTGTTCTATCGAAGTTCTGAGGGGGAATCTCCGTCTTCCCGCTCCTGAGGGTTCCTGTAATGCTTTCTAGCCACTGTAGCCCCTAAAGAAAATTTCTATTAAATCATAATAAAATGTTTGTTGCAATTCTCCTTTTCTCCCTCCGTGGACTTACCATGCACTTACCTCTCTGTTTCCTAAAATAAATAGGGTGACAGGCACATTGCTTGGCCAATAAGAACGAAGTGGGTGGTGCTGCATGCATTGCTAGGGAGCTGAGGAAAGTAGAGAATGGATGGCTGAGTGGTCACTTCTGTGGCCACTCTTGCCAGGAGACTTTGGTGTTTCCATAGTAACCATGGTAAATGGCAATTCTGGGTCCCAACGACCTTAGAAGCCACTGATTCTCTCTGTGGTTTTGGGAAACTAAAGGTATTATGCAGAAACATCATGACTTGGTCCAGATGACATGACAGACCAACAAAGGTAAGAACTCACCATGATGTGTAAACCCAACCAGAGAGTTGTGTCCCTCAAATTCTGTAGAAATCCTAGTTTAGAGCCTGGTAAAGGGGCTTTTTTGGAATGTGTAAGCAAATTGGTGCTTTATTACTATGCCTGACTATGGTGTGGCAGTGAGTGGGCTCAGGATAGGAATCACTGCTACCTGAGGTTGCTGGAAGAGGAACCTGGGGGTAGGTAGTGGGTGGAATGGAATCACCAGGAGGGATTCACTTTAGTGCAGGAAGTGGCATGTTTTCCAGTGGCAGCTTCTCAGAACAGGCCAGTGATGAGGCTCTCACCAGTCCCGTAGCTCTTTCAGGCCCTTTCTGTGAAGAGAAGCTTCCCAAGTGTGCTCCTGTGTTTTGGGTCACAACGGCATGGAACATCCTCTTCCAGAGGGAAAAACACTTGGTAGGTTGATTCTCTCCAAATTCTTGATTCACTTGACCTAGTCGCAACACCTGCACTATCTGTACTGTGCAGAAGCTTTGGAGCTCTGGGGGGCATTTTTGTCCCTGGATCCCCAGCAGGCTGCACCAACATATTCTGGGGTTCACTTGCAGCCCAAACATCACATGCTGCCCTCCCCAATCTATAACAAGGACTCATTCACCTTTGCAACTTCCACAGGTCATCTTTGCCCTCATCTGCCAACAATGCGCTTTCTTGATTTACATCTTTTGAACAGCAGAGTCCTTATTTCAGCCTTTCCCCATCTGGTGTCTGCAGAGGATTTGGCCTACATGTCCTATCATCCCTGACCATGCTGGGTGGGGCTAATGGGACTTCTAGTGCAAAGAATCTGGAGGGTACAAGATTAGGGAAGGCTGCCTTATTGAAATGAAGAAATGAATGTGCATGGATAGTAAAAATGAATGAACTTACTTTAGAAGGCCAGCCAAAAGACCACAAAAAATGTGCCGGCTTTTGAGACCTCCAGAACTTTTCACCATGCAAGGTGTTACAAAAAAGCAGGTTTGGTGGGGAAGAGAGGAGAAATGGGAAGGAAAATAAATCCTGACCCCACAGTGACTGCAGATCCCAAGGTGAAATGGGCGGGAGAGCTCTGTGGCCATCCAACGTTGCCTTTGTCAGTTATGTGATGGTTGGAAAGGTGGGCCTGGAACTGCCCTTGGGTAGCTGAGAACAAGTGTACATATCTTATGCTGGCCTAGCAAAGGCATTACATTAACAAGGATTTTGGAATTTTAATTTTTCAATTAAAAATGAGAACATGCTCTAGCCAACTGGGTGATCATTTCCATTTCCCTGAACATATTTTTTCCCTTACACTGAAAAAAATGTACAGAGGAAGTGAAAGAGACTCTGATTTTGTTGTCATATCTGATAGCATTTCCCTGCTATTTAATAAGGGGTTCTCTCATGATGAATAATAAACCATCAGCCATTATTTGGTTTTGCACACTGTCTGGTGCTCTAAGAATCTGGATTATGTGACCTTCTGTTCTTTGTCTTGCTTGGATTTCAACACAGTCAAAAACTTTGTAACACAGCTTTATCTTACCTTTTCTTTCTTCACAGACACTATAAGAGTTCAGTTGTGCTGATGTGTTTTGTTATTCCTACTCTTGTGCCTTGGTACTTCTGGGGGGAGAGCTTGTGGAATTCGTACTTTCTTGCTTCCATCCTCCGCTACACCATTTCGCTCAATGTCGCTTGGTTGGTTAATAGCGCTGCCCACATGTATGGCAATCGGCCTTATGACAAGAATATCAACCCTCGGCAGAATACATTAGTCTCTTTCGGAGCCATCGGTGAGTACGGTGAAGAGTCTCCACAACTTTTGTAAGCAGGGTGTTTGTTTTCTCGCAGACAAAGCTTCTCTAAGGTGAAGTAAGTGAGGGCCAAAGGCAACTGTGGGGTAGTTGTCAGGCCCACTTTTCAAGGGTGGTTGAGGCCAAAGGCCAAGACCAAAAATACTGGGTCAAAGCTCTTTCTGGTAGCAATTAAACCTTGGGAGAGATATTTCCGCCTTTTGGAATGGGGGCCATTGGGGAAAAGGGGGTGGGGCCAGGTGAAGGGTTGTGGTCATCTGGGGGACCCCTGAGAGCTGGGTTGAAACCCCAGTGCCACTGTATCCTTAAGTTACTCTTGTGATTCTGCTGGGCTCCAAAAGTATCAGCCACACTCGCAAGGGCTTGTTCTCTAGCACAGGGGTGAGGAACTTCTGGCCCATGGAGGTTCTCATTCTGGTTCCCCTTGGTGAACAAAAAGCAACCTTTTTATTCAAGCGGCATTTTAACTGTTAATATTATTGGTTTTATCTGGCCAGGGCGGCTTATTTTATACTGTATTGTTGTATTTTTAATTTAATATTTATATTTTTAATTTATATTATAATTATTTTAACTTAGTGATGTGAGCCGCCCCAAGGCTTCGGCGAATGGGGTGGCATAAAAATGTTTTAATAAATAAATAAATAAATAAATAAATAAGAGAGACACTGACAAAGAAGGTTCCTATTTTGGCACGAACTTGCAAAAGACACTCCTGCAAGTGCCTGCCAAGTCCCTTCCCTTTGCATGCCACTTTTCATCTGAGCTGGAGCACAAGATGCCCATGAAAAGAAGGATTTGGCAGGCACTTGTAGGACTGGCTTCTGCGAATGCCAGCTGAGCTCCTTCCTCCATGCAGCAAGAGAGACTCAGAGATGCTTTGGGCTGCGGGGTGAGGGAAGGCAGGCAATCCAAAATGGGTTCCTTGCCTTGCTGGCATTTCTTTAGCTTTTAGGCTGGCCAGCCTTGCAGTAAGTGAATGCAGGGGCAGGCAACCTCCAGGAGCCAGCTAGGGAGCATTGCAGTCTTCTTCTGGTTTCAGGGCACCATATTTAAACAAAAGGTGTCTGTGAAGCTGCTGAAATCAATGGTTTATTAGCAGGCACACCCGTGAAATCGAAAAAGAGTTGCTTAAAGACAATCAGGGCATAAGCTTTCATTTCACTTGATCAAAATAAAGACTATGGGGAGTTGCAATCCCCCACCCCCAATCATAATTATGCCACAAGGAGAGACAAATGGAGCTGACGGCGACTTGGCACTGCATTGTTTTAGATCTGTGTGTCTCCGGAGTGAGTCATAAGGCTAGGAGATCAACAAAACTGCTCTGCCATGTGATACATAGGAGTGATCCAGGGCAGAAGGAGATTATTTATGGGGATCCAATGTCTTGGTGCAACTGAAGAGGTGAAAAGTGGTGCAGGGAGGGTACAATTTGACGCCAAGAAAGCTCCAGCATGATAGGCAGTCTGGTAGAAGGCACCTGATTCATGGAATTACAGTCAGGCAAAGGGTTATGGGTCCAGCACTTTCCTGCTTTAAATTCTACCCCCACTGCCCTGCTTCAGGGGAGACCCAGGTTCCAGACTTGGGTTTCCATCGCATTTCAGTTGATCCATTTTCATCAAATATTTTGTGCTTCTGGATACAATTTCCTATGAGAAATCTACCTTTGCATCCCGTTCTGTATCTTGTACTCTCTGCTTGATTTCAGTTCAGCCTTCTTGGCAGACGCTGATAAAAAATAGCTTTTCCTCAGTTAAGCTGGCATTCCCTGAAGCCTCAGGCTGTACCATTATCTTCCTTTCCCCATTATCCTCACAGAAACAGCAACAGATAAAGTTTGCAGTTATTCCCAGCTATGAGAAAGAAGTGCAGATGTCAAGAATGGGACCCACATTAATATTCCTAAGATCAGTCCTTGAAAGATGAAACTAAAGAGAACAGGCGTGCTGCTTGCCGACCCTTGGCTCTTAGATGAAACAAGAGAAGGGGACTGTTTTTAGGGGTGGCTGTAAAAGCATCAAGACTACAAAGGAGGCAGAAAAATCCTCTGGGTGGGGAAAAGCAGGAGCGGAGGCAGAGGAATCTTGCTGGCTCACTTCCTTCCCATGAGAATCAGGGCTGACATGTCTGAGACATGGGAAGACTTTGGATATGGTAGGTCACAGCCTTTCTTAGAACGTCACTTCTGTTTTGTGCTCCCTGATAACAGAGCAGTACCAGTTGTGGACTTTTCCATAGCCTCACTGAGGAGACTTAAAAGCTTGGAACTCCCTCCCCAAGGCCGGTCTACTCTAGAGGCAGGAGATGCACAATGAAGATCCAGTGGCCCTGAGACACCTTCCCAAGGCTTTTTGGGAGTGGCAGAACTCTTCTGTCTATATTTCCATAGGGTTGTACCTTTGATTGATTGAATTTTGATCAACTGGTAAAGCTATCCCCCCATCCCAAACTGGGTAACATATTTGTATATTACCTTAGAGAGTCATCCTGTCTCCTCTTCTATTAGGACCATCCTCCAACAGGTGTGTGCTCTGGCATGTACCTGCATTATCAAAAAACAAAGTATACTTTTCCACATTCAGAATGACTAAAGTATTCCTCTCTTAATGTCTGCAGTTTTGATTCATGAAATACATTTCTTATGATTAACCAAATATTTATTTTATTTATTATTTATTAAAACATTTCTATGCCTCCCCATTCACCGAAGCCTCGGGGCGGCTCACAACATAAATTAAAATACAAGAGATAACAATATAAAATAAGTCGCCCTGGACAGATAAAATAAGCGAATAATATTAACAATTAAAATGACGCTTCTTTAATTGTTTGTCAGCCCTAAAAACAAACCATAGGAATAAAAATGCATGGCATGGTCTTATACTGTTTATTCAGAAGCACTGTCCACTCTGTTCTATAGGGCTTGCTTCCTAGTGATCATTTAGCATTGCAGCCATGGTGACAAGTGGTTAATTCAGTGTTAGTCTAGTTTAAATTCCACTCATTTCAATGGGTCTGTTCGAACACTGGATATAACCCAAGTACAACCAGATAAAGCTTCATGGTAAAAAGAAAAGCTGAGGTTCCATATTAAATGTTCAAGGATAGGCTGGACGTGCACTTGGTGGGCATGTCGTGAGTGGAACCGGCTGGTGCCAGAGGTCAGACTAGATGGCCTGGAAGGCCCCTTCTGACTCGCTCTGTTTCTATGTAAATGACTTACACATTGCCACATAGTGTAATTTTTAAAATTAAAGCTCCTCTCCAGTCTTGATGAAGCCAGAGATAATTTATAATTTTCTACTTTATTAATTTATTTACATTGGATTTGATTGAAAGCCACCTGTTAGCATCATGCTCTCTGAGTGGCCATTATAATACAACTTACAGATGAATGGAAATCATGGATGTTTTAATAATAAGCTGTTTTCTAGCCTGGGAGGTCAAAATCCTCTCTTACTTTGTTTTTCCCCACTGACTGGTACTCTCCTTCTCTATCTGCTAACTTTTTGTTCCTTCTGGGTTCTGCTTTCTAGGTGAAGGGTTCCACAATTTCCACCACACTTTTCCTTTTGATTATTCAGCTAGTGAGCTCGGCTTGAAATTCAACCCCACCACATGGTTCATTGACTTCATGTTTTGGTTAGGTCTGGTCACAGAAAGGAAGCAGGTTCCAAGGGAGATGATCCAAGCTCGCAAAGAGAAGACTGGAGACGGCAGCTATTGAGATATCAAGGGAGTCTCTGAACACTGATGGGGTTGTATGTGTTGTTTGTCTGTTTCTTCATGGGGAGGGGGGCTTCTTACCCTTTCCCCCCCTTAGAATGGGAGTAGTAATTTTCATTGAACATAGGCCAAATTAATTCCTGGATTAATTCCATTTTCTCTAGTGCAGTGGTTTTCAAATTTTCTGTTGGCAGGCAACTCTTTTGACATTAATTCACCTTTACATGTTGCAGAGAATTCTGGGGCATGTTGTAATGTCAAGCTAGGAAGTCTTCATGCTTGCAAGACGTACTTTGCTTTTTACTAGAATCCTGTGATGCACCAACCTACACCAAAATAGTGGGGTGGAGTCAATTGCCTACTCATGAACGTATAGAAGTGCAGATCCACATCTGAGTTACTACATATTGTGGGATCTAACACAAAACTCTAAAATTGGCCAGCAGAGCTACACAAAGACCTGGTTAAAGGCAACCAATGAACATTCATTTTTCAGGTGAAGAAGACAGAGAAGGGATTAGCAAAAGGCTAACTACAGCAGAACATGTGTTCTTGCTTGTGGTTTTAAAGCAATAAGATTTTGTTCAAATACTCTTAAGCATAAAAGTCCCATAAAATAGCTGGGTGATATAGAGGCTCACAGGTATACAACTCGCCCATAGGTCAGGCAAATCAGTGTATGAAGGACTGCAGCCTTTTCTTTGTTGCTATTGTTAAACAACTGGGAGTTAGAAATCCTTGCTCATGCTCAGCAGATCTTCCAGAGGCCTGCTAGAAGAAGCTAGTCTATCTTCTGCCCACTCCTGTTCTAAAGTATAGTTTCAGTTCCTGCAGATTGCTGGCCAGGTCATTCTGAATGTCACTATCATTCTTTGTCAATTGAGAAGATACCCTTGAATACACCCAACTCTCTGTTATAGCTGCACATTGCAGAGGAAAATCCATCGTGATGGACACACAGTCTTCGAGGGTAGAACTTTGATCTTTGCATTGATAAGTCCCCAAGGAACCTGAATGTTCCACAGTTCACATTTTGAAAAGCACTGCTTAAGTGGAATTAAATCATGGATGGATATAGCCTAAATTCTTAGCTGTCTTAAGTACAGTGTTTTGGAAGGTTGCATATTATTTAATGTTAGAGTTAAACGTGGTAGATCTTTTGACTTGACTGAGTTTCATGACTATGCTCCATGGATACACTAATATGGTAGCATGTATAAATTTTGACAGAACGAAAGAACGGGCTTTTCTTTAAAGCATCGTCCAAGCAAGCATTTTTTTCATTGTTAAGCAGCTCAGTCGAATATTTTTCCTACACTCTGGTCTAGTGGTTTCTTGGAGGCTAGGAGGCATCAACACCCACGTGGCGCTCATCCATTGAGAAGGACTTTCCCACGCATTGCAGTCAAGGGGTAGCTTCGCTTACAGAAATGGGAATTGGATGTGAAGCTGGGGCCCCCCAGTGAAGCAAATGAACAAGCCTGATCGTAGAGGGGCACACACAGATTGCTGTAGTAGGACCGTGACATGTACTCATGTGTAGTATGTACAGAAGTTCAGGCAGAGAAATCTAACAGGCCATCAGTGAGCCAGTGTGGTCTCCTGGGACTCGGGAGATCTGGGCTCTAGTCCCCACTCGGCTCGATGCCCACGAGGTGAAAATGGGCCACTCACTGGCTCTCAACCTTACAGGGTTGCAGGGAAGATAAAATGGAGAGAAGGAAGGTCACACATTCCATGCTGGGTTTCTTGCAAGAGGGAAAAAGGCAGAATATAAATGTAACAATAAAATAAATAGCATCATGAAAGGAATGAGATGTTAAAGCTGGTACTGATTTTAACCTGGTCCAGCAGGCTACAGTTCAGAGTATTGCTGTCCCGAATTTCAACTGCCTCAGGTGATTGCCTTCTCCTGGCTGCCACCATATGCATTCCCAGTGCCTGGAGATCTGCAGTGGTGTTTGTAGTGCATCCCACTGTTTGCTGCTCAGTGTAAAGGAAAGAATCTTAAAAGAGGTTTTATGTAAAAGGGTCAGACATGCACCTCAGGTGTGCTGGCAGTGGGGGTCGGAGAGGAGCTATGGAAGGGAGCATGCCTCACGGGGCAGTGCCTGGATCGATGCCACAGGTTTGAGCACCTACATGCATTTGCCAGCAAGCAAGCCTTTACTTGCCCAATGGTGCAATGGACGCTGCAGTCTCTGGTTTGCTCCAGGTTCTAGGTTCTGTTGAAATGGCACTTACTCCAGTAGAGAGAGAGGATTCCCCCGTCCTGTGCTTCAGGATAATGGGCGGGAGAAGTTGGGTGGGAGAAGAAGACTGGACTGCTTGTCTCCCCAGTTGCTGCTGGTGTCTTGCCTTCCCTCTTGGCCACACTTGTCGCATTGACTCTCCTCCGGTTTCCTGCCTCCACCCCTTATATGGGGTTTCTCAAGTGTGTGCAGACCCGTCATGGGACCACAGTGGCAAGCATCCGATACACAAAGCAATTTTTACTCCATTCTATACATGAATGGAAAACTGTCCTTGTTGAGAGGTAGGGAAGGAGGGAGGGTGAGAGATTGCCCTTTGTTGCAAGATGAATGCTCCTCTGATTTTATTTTGTATTTTACTCTCTGTTTTCCATTTTGCTTTGTTCTGTTGTTGAATATGCAATTTATTTATGGAAGAGCTGGTACTTGTATTAACATCTATATGCTTTGTGGGCCAAAAATAAACTGGGTATGTTTAGACCATTAATTTTATTGCCACATATGCATTGTCATTTGTAAATGTGTACAGCTGAATGATGTCTTAAACCAAATAAAGCTTCATTTTAAATGCTTGGATACCTAATTTATATTCTAACTAGTCAAAGCAACCAAGGCATGCACATTTTTAATGATGTTGTATTTATTAGCTATCTCAATTTTACCCACCACCCTGACTTTTAACTTTTGGGACCTAAGAGCTGGTTTTAAACTACAGTGCTTCAGCTGCATGCAGTGTCCATTGGTTTCCAAGCAAATTATGTTTTAAAAGACGATTTATGTAGCTTTGGGATCTACTTGATGGCTTGTAAAGTGCATGTTAGGTTAAAGGGACCTAAAGCCCTTTATGTTCTGTGTTAGTGGCTGAGGGATAATGGAGTTGAAATGGAACTGAGCTCCAGCAGACCTCATAATTTCTTTAAAAATTTTAAGGGTAGATTGCAACAGATCTGAGCAGGATTCCCATACCCCATTATTCATTTCAACTCTTATGGTTATATCAGAATGTCTAAGAAAGCCAAATCAAAAAGGGAAGCATATCTTTTTTATTCATAAGTCCAGTATCAAACAGAATATTCAATAGGTATTCATAGGACTGGCTCCCAAGTGTTCTTTAATGGGATTTAATGGGAGTGGCACCATGTTGAAGGCTAATTTAATGCTGACTTTAATTTAATCCCAACTGGCATTTAATCAATCAATATGTAAGGAAATCATACATCACAAAAAACCTCCATAAGCCTCCAGTATTTCCTTTCACGGAACTGGAAACTTGCATGTATGAATTTCAAAAATAATCATGTTTAACTTGTGGGAGAGGTTACAGGGTTGGATCTAAAATCCGGTTACAACAGTTTGAGTACACACTAAATAAGTTTTACTTCCACAACTTGACACTTAGTTCAGACATTTTGAAAACAAAGCAACACAAATTATGAAATTCTGACATTCCAGAACGCGTCTTGTTGTTGTTATGTGCCTTCAGGCTGTCTCTGATGACTCTATGAATGAGAGCCCTCCAAAATCTCCTGTCCTTGACAGCTCTGCTCAGTTCTTGTAAACATTTTTACACCTTCAAAGTGCATTTCAAATAGAAAACTATAGAATTTCCAAGGGATCTATCAAGATCTATTTAGATTTTGTGACTCTTTCCACTTTGCAGGAGTTTGTGACAACCCTCAAAGTCTCTTCCAAGCCTGATTCTATTATTGTTCGTGTTAGACCACTGACTTTCATACATGCTCCAGGCTGTGACAAAAGACAGTGCCTCAGAGAACTTATTATGGTGGCTACGGGTTGCATTTTACAGAAAGTAGTCTTTGTTTAGGTACAAGAATAAGCCAGACGATGCTTTAACACAGCCTTCTCCAACCTGATAATACAGCCTTCCCTTTGGACTACAGCTCCCATCAGGCCGAGACAGCATGGCTCATGATCATCGATGATAGGAGCTATAGCCCAACTCGACTGCAGGCACTTAGGTGTAGAAGGCTGCTGACACATCAGGCAATGGTCGCAACACAAACATAAACAGTTTTCCCCAGCTGCTGAGTGTCTTGATGCAGCAGTCTGGTTTTGTCAAGTGCAGAGGAATTCAAGATAGAAGTCAGTAGCTACACTACACATAACCATCTTGAATTTTCCTATGGCTTCACACTGGCCATGTTGTCTATGCACAACTAAATCCATTGAATGTACAAGATAGCATAGGGCCAGATGTGCAGAATTCAAGATGACTGCCAAAGATCACCAAACTCAGAACAACCTGCTCAGAACCAAGAGCCACACTAGAAATTGATGTGGAAAAGGGCTGGGTTCAGACAACATGATAACTCACACTCGGGAGTTCAGTATGGGATGACTGAGGATTGTTGAGACATGAGTCACTGTGTTGTCTGAATCCAGCTGCACTTACAAGACATGCTAGTTAACCACAAATAAGCCATGGTTTGTTGATAGGCTGTGAACTGTTGGTTTTTCCCCATGATAAGTTATCTGAGTTTAGACAACACAATAACCCACACTTCAACTGTAAACCCTGGTCCAACAACAACTCCTACTCAACCCTTGAGTATAACTTATGTTGCCTGAATTCAATTTTGTGCCAAAATTCTAAAGGCATCAAAATCCGAAGACATGAATCAGGACTTGATCTCTATGTTGCTTATTTCAAACCTGATTCAGGTACCCATGAAAGAAGCAATCCACCTTCCTATACACTGTATGTTATCAACAGAAGTGAGTGTGTGGGTAAAATTGTGTCATTTACACTGAGTCCTCCACCCGAACGACAGGGGAAAGAGGAACTCCTCAACGTAACAGCAAGCAATACTGGCGGTTGCTACACTCGTGGGTATCTCATCAGGCAGAGACCAGTTTAAATGTGCAGTTACTGAATGCAGTATAATCTTTTCCAGCCCTCCCTTCCCTTGTCCCTTGCCATTACAACAGGAGCAATACTGGTTTTTCTGTGTAAGGACAGCCTATCAATAACAAAATTAATCTGAGTCAGCGTTTGTCTGGTGTCAGTGGAATGTACTGTGCTTTTATAACAGGGGTGCAGAAACTCAGGCCTGGGGTCCCAAGTCCAGCCCTCCT